AAGGATGGAGGTGACCAAGCAGGTGAGAGGGTGGTGAAATGGGCGAGAGGGGGGCAGTGAGAATAGAAGTTTGGGGGAAGGTGGGGAGGATTGTGAGTGTCGAAACAGGTGAGAGGGTGTGGGGGCAAAGGGATGGGGGTGGCAAAACACTCCTCTCCTCTCTGTCATCACTAAACCCTCCCACTCTATTGTGTTGATAACTGTATCTTCTCATGCTTTGATCCCTTCCCACCTTTCTCAGGGAAAGTGCATGAAATTGTTCAGTATGTAGATTTCCCCACCTCACCTTCCTCCTCATTCTCGTCCTCCTCCTTACCCTCCTCCTCCTCCTCTCTATCATCTCTGTATTCCGCCACAGGCTGGAGCATGTAGAGTTGTCCTGCATGTGGACCCCCCGCCCTCCTTCTCACCATCGCCCTCCTTCTCTCTATCATCTCTGTTATTCTCAACAGGTTGGAGCACATGGAGTTGCACTTAATGTGGACCTCACCTCTTCCTCACTCTCGTCCTTCTCTTCTCTCTCTATCTTTGTATTTCTCAACAGCTTAGAGCATGTGGAGTTATCCTTAATGTGGATCTCGCCTCCTCCTCACCCTCTTCCTCATTGTCCTCCTTCTCACCCTCCTCCTTCGTCTCTCTATCATTTCTGTATTTCTCAACAGGTTGGAGCACATGGAGTTGTACTTAATGTGGATCTGGCCTCCTTCTCACTCTCTTCCTCACTCCCCTCTTCACCCTCCTCCTCCTTCATTCTATCATCTCTGTATTCCTCCCCAGGTTGGAGCGCGTGGAGTCGTCCTGTTTGTGGATCCCCCCCACCTCACCCTCCTCCTGCAGGCTAGCAGAGAGGCCGGCCTGAGCGGCGCCTTCACTTGGGTGGTGCCATCAGACTGGGCCCACTCGGGGGAGAACATTGCAGGGCTGGAAGATGAGGTAAAAATAATAATAATAATAATAGTAATAATAATAATCAATAACAAATAATCAATAGCATTTGTATTGTAAGCATATACTCCCGCTCGACAGCAAGCTCTAGGTATCTTTGCTTTTTATGCTTCTCTCTAGTAACACCTCTAATCTTTGGCTCTTATGTTATGCCCTGTTTGTTTTGCTATTGCAGTTTAACTCTGATGAAACTAAACTGAAGAAGAAGAAGGGGGGTTGTTGGTGGGTGTTCTGGTGTGGTTTCGGCTGCTTCCCATTTCCTCCCTTGCGTTTTAATTTTTTTAACATTATAATGACACCTGTCTAAGACGGCCGCTTTTCTCTGTAACTATGGGTGGCAGTTGTGGTTGTGAGACTATATGAATCGGGTTACCCGTGAACAGCCTCAGACAGCAGCTGTTTTGCTATCCACAGGTTTCCGGATCTATCACCATCGAGACTCGAACAGCCATCCTGGAGGAGTTTACGGATTACGTAAGAAGTCTGACGTACAACAACAGACAAGGGATTCCAGACGACTGGTTCATGAACATATACCAGGCAATCCATCAGTGCAGTCTTATTGATGTGGAGGTGAGTGGGAAGGAAAGAGGGGTTCCTGAACATTTCCACGCTATCCGTCAGTTCTGTTTTATTGATATCGAGATGAGGCAGAAGTAGAACAGAGAGAGGGAGCTGGATGCACGGAGGGAAGAAGGGGGAATGAGAGAAGTAGCTACGAAGAAAGAGATAGAGAGAGGTAGGGAAAGAAAGGGGGAGGGTGAGGTATCTTGGAAGAGATAGATACAGAGAGAGAGTTGGATGGGGGGAGAGGGGGGG